CGAGGACGACGACGAGGACGTCGAGGATGACGACGACGAGGACGAAGACGACGATGACGGCGACGACGAGGACGACGACGAGGACGACGAGGACGGCGGCAACGTCGACCACGGTTAACCGTAAGTGTGTAGTGCTAAAGTCGCAAGTGCACATCAGTAAGTGCACAGTTGCGTTCTCGATGGAGTGCACGGTGCACGGTATTGCAAAGTAGAATCCACTGCTAAAAGCAAATGCTAAAAGCCAATGCTAAAAGCAAATGCTAAAAGCCAATGCTAAAAGCCAATGCTAAAAGCCAATGCTAAAAGCCAACGCTAAAAGCCAATGCTAGCATCAAATGCTAAAATCCAATGCTAAAATCCAATGCTAAAATCCAATGCTACAATCTAATGCTAAAAGAAGACCAGCACGGCACGGCAAGACCAGCACGGCGCAGCAAGACCAGCACGGCACGGCAAGACCAGCACGGCACAGCAAGACCAGCACGGCACGGCAAGACCAGCACGGCACGGCAAGGCCAGCACGGCACAGCAAGACCAGCACGGCACAGCAAGACCAGCAAGTCACAGCAAGACCAGCACGGCACAGCAAGACCAGCACGGTTGTCTCCTCCTCCTCGTCGTCCTCGTCGTCCTCGTCGTCCTCCTCCTCCTCCTCCTCCTCCTCCTCCTCCTTCGCCTCCTCTTACTCCTCCTCATCCTCCTCCTCCCCCTCCTCCTCCTCCTCCTCCCTCCTTCTCCTCCCCACTCCTTCCTCCTCCGCCTCCTCCTCCTCCTCCTCCTCCTCCTCCTCCTCCTCCTCCTCCTTTTACTCATCTTAATAACCCCCATGATCGTGCTAAAACCCAATGCTAAAACCCAATGCTAGAATCCAATGCTAAAATCCAACGCTAGCGCCGAATTCTTGCCCGCCGAATTCTGCGGCGTCGAACTCATGCGGAAACGCCGACAAGGTGCCAAAATCTAATGCTAAAATTCCAATGCTGAAATCCAATGTAAACTCCAATGCGAACGGCGCCGAATTCTTGCGCGCCGAAGCCCGCGGCGCCGGAATCATTTGGAATCCCCGGCAAGTTGCTAAACTCCAATGCTAAAATCCAATGCTAGACATCCAATGCTAAAGTACAATGCTAAAAATCCAGTGCTAAAGTCCAATGCTAAAATCCAATGCTCGAATCCAATGCTAAAATCCAATGCTAACGGCGGCAAGGTGCTCAAATTCAATGCTTTAATTCAATGCTAAAATCCAATGGTAACGGCGCCGAACGCTTGAGTCCACTTGAGCGCCGAAACCCGCGGCGCCGAAATCATGCGAAAGCCCCGGCAAGGTGCTAAAATCCAATGCTAAAATCCAATGCTAAAGCCCACTGCTAAAATCCAATGCTAAAATTTCTCGCGCGCCGAAATCAGCGGCGCTGAAAGTCTTGCAGAACGCCCGGCACGGTACCGAAACCCTAGGCTAAAACCCAATGCTAAAATCCAATGCTAAAATCCAATGCTAAAATCCCATGCGAAAATCCAATGCTTAAATCCAATGCTCAAATCCAATGCTAAAATCCAATGCTAAAATCCAATGCTAAATTCCAATGCTAAACTCTAATGCTAACGGCGCCGGATTCTTGCGCGCCGAAATCCGCGGCGCTGATGCTCAAGTCCAATGCTAAATTCCAGTGCTAAAATCCACTACTAACGGCGCCGAACTCTTGCGCGCCGAAATCCGCGGCTGAAAGTCTTGCAGAAAGCTTGGCGCGGTACTGAAATCCAATGCTAAAATCCAATGCTACAAGCCAATGCTCAATCCAATGTTAAAATCCAATGTTAAAATCCTACGCGAAACTCCAATGCTAAACTCTAATGCTAACGGCGCCGAATTCTTGCGCGCCGAAATCCGCTGCGCTGATGCTCAAATCCAATGCTAAAATTCCATGCTAAAATCCAATGTGAAATCCAATGCTAAAATCCAATGCTAACGGCGCCGAATTCTTGCGCGCCGCAATCCGTGGCGCTGAAAGTCTTGCAGAACGCCCGGCACGGTACCGAAATCCAATGCTAAAACCCAATGCTAAAATCCAATGCTAAAATTTCTCGCGCGCCGAAATCAGCGGCGCTGAAAGTCTTGCAGAACGCCCGGCACGGTACCGAAACCCTAGGCTAAAACCCAATGCGAAAATCCAATGCTAAAATCCAATGCTAAAATCCCATGCGAAAATCCAATGCTTAAATCCAATGCTCAAATCCAATGCTAAAATCCAATGCTAAAATCCAGTTCTAAATTCCAATGCTAAGCTCGAGTGCTAACGGCGCCGGATTCTTGCGCGCCGAAATCCGCGGCGCTGATGCTCAAGTCCAATTCTAAATTCCAGTGCTAAAATCCACTACTAACGGCGCCGAACTCTTGCGCGCCGAAATCCGCGGCTGAAAGTCTTGCAGAAAGCTTGGCGCGGTACTGAAATCCAATGCTAAAATCCAATGCTACAAGCCAATGCTCCATCCAATGTTAAAATCCAAGGTTAAAATCCAACGCGAAACTCCAATGCTAAACTCTAATGCTAACGGCGCCGAATTCTTGCGCGCCGAAATCCGCTGCGCTGATGCTCAAATCCAATGCTAAAATTCCATGCTAAAATCCAATGTGAAATCCAATGCTAAAATCCAATGCTAACGGCGCCGAATTCTTGCGCGCCGCAATCCGTGGCGCTGAAAGTCTTGCAGAACGCCCGGCACGGTACCGAAATCCAATGCTAAAATCAAATGCTAAAACCCAATGCTAAAATCCAATGCTAAAATCCAATGCTAAAATCCACTGCTAAAGCCCAATGCTACAATCCAATGCTAAAATCAAATGCTAACCTCCACTGCTAAAATCACATGCTAAAATCCAAGGCTAAAATCCAATGCTAAAATCCAATTCTAAAATTCACTGCTAAAGCCCAATGCTAAAATCCAATGCTAAAATCAAATGCTAACATCCACTGCTAAAATACAATGCTAAAATCCAATGCTAAAGTCCAATGCTAAAATCCAATGCTAAAATCCAATGCTAATGGCGCCGGACCCTTGCGCGGCGAAATCGGCGCTGAACGTCTTGCAGAAAGCTCGGCGCGGTACTGAAATCCAATGCTAAAATCCAATGCTAAAGCCCAATGCTAAAACGCAATGCTACAAACCAATGTAAAATCCAATGCTAAACTCCAGTTCTAAAGCCAATGCTCAAATCCAATGCTAAAATCCAATGCTAAAATCCAATGCTAAAATCCACTGCTAAAGCCCAGTGCTAAAATCCAATGCTAAAACCCAATGCTAAAATCCAATGCTAAAATCCAATGCTAAAATATACGCCACTGTGCACTTGCAGGTCAAGGCCACTGTGCACTTACAGCTTACCATCAACGTCGACGACGAGGACGACAACGACGACGAGGAGGACGACGACGAGGACGACGACGACGAGGACGAGGACGACGAGGACGACGATGACGACGACGACGGCCCCGACGACGACGACGACGGTGGCGACAACGACGACGAGCACGACGACGACGACGAGGACGACGACGATGAAGAGGTCGACGACGACGAAGACGACGACGACGAGCAGGAGGACGACGACGACGACGACGACGACGAGGACGACGACGACGACGACTGTTAGGAGGACGACGAGGACGACGCAAACGGCGGCGACGATGACGACGACGACAACGACGGCGACGACGACGACGAGGACGACGTCGAGGACGACGACGAGGACGACGACGAGAACGACGAGGACGACGACGACGATGATGACGCAGTGGACGACGACGATGACGACGACGAGCACGAGGACGACAACGACGACGACGACGACGACGGTGGCGACGACGACGACGAGGATGATGACGACGAGGTCGACGGCGGCGGCGGCGACGACAAAGACGAGGACGACGACGAAGAGGACGGCAACGACGAGAATGACGATGACGGCGACGACGACGGCGACGGCGACGACGACGACGGCGACGACATCGGCGACAGCGATGACGACGACGACAACGACGACGACAAGGGCGACGACGACGACGACGACGACGGCGGCGGCGGCGACGACGACGAAGACGACGACGGCGACAGCGGTGACGACGGCGACGACGACGACGACGAGGACGACAAGGGCGACGACGACGACGACGACGACGACGGCGGCGGCGGCGACGACGACGAAGACGACGACGGCGACAGCGGTGACGACGGCGACGACGACGACGACGAGGACGACGTCGTCGACGACGACGACGACGGTGACGACGACGAAGAGGACGACGATGACGACGACGACGACGAGGATTACGAAGAGGACGACGACGATGATGACGACGACAACGACGAGGACGGCGACAGCGACGACGACGACAACGACGGCGAAGACGGCGGCGACGACGACGACGACGAGGACGACGACGACGACGAGGACGTCGATGGCGGCGACGACGACGACGAGGACGAGGAGGACGACGACGACGACGAGGACGACGACGACGACGAGGACGGCGACGACGACGGTGACGACGACGACATCGACGACGAGGACGATGACGACGACGACAATGATGACGACGACGAGGACGACTACGAGGACGACGACGATGTCGACAACGACGACG